GTATACCATGCTGAACTACAATGATCATCGTATACCAGGCTGACTACAGTGATCATGGTATACCAGGCTGAACTACAGTGATCATGCTATACCAGGCTGAACTGCAGTGATCATGCTATACCAGGCTGACTACAGTGATCATGGTATACCAAGCTGATCTACAGTGATCATGGTATACCAGGCTGAACTACAGTGAACATGGTATACCAGGCTGAACTACAGTGATCATGGTGTACCAGGCTGACTACAGTGATCATGGTATACCAGGCTGAACTAGAGTGATCATGCTATACCAGGATGAACTACAGTAATCATGGTATACCAGGCTGACTACAGTGATAATGCTATACCAGGCTGAACTACAGTGATCATGGTATACCAGGCTGAACTAGAGTGATCATGCTATACCAGGATGAACTACAGTAATCATGGTATACCAGGCTGACTACAGTGATAATGCTATACCAGGCTGAACTACAGTGATCATGCTATACCAGGCTGACTACAGTGATAATGCTATACCAGGATGAACTACAGTGATCATGGTATACCATGCTGACTACAGTGATAATGCTATACCAGTCTGAACTACAGTGATCATGCTATACCAGGCTGACTACAGTGATAATGCTATACCAGGCTGAACTACAGTGATCATGCTATACCAGGATGAACTACAGTGATTATGGTATACCAGGCTGAACTACAGTGATCATGGTATACCAGGCTGACCACAGTGATAATGCTATACTAGGCTGAACTACAATGATCATGCTATACCAGGCTGACTACAGTGATAATGCCATACCAGGCTGAACTACAGTGATCATGGTATACCAGGATGAACTACAGCGATCATGGTATACCCGGCTGAACTACAGTGATCATGCTATACCAGAATGAACTACAGTGATCATGGTATACCAGGATGAACTACAGTGATCATAGTATACCAGGCTGAACTACAGTGATCATGGTATACCAGGCTGAACTACAGTGATCATAGTATACCAGGCTGAACTACAGTGATCATGGTATACCAGGCTGAACTACAGTGATCATGGTGTACCAGGCTGAACTACAGTGATCATGGTATACCAGGATGAACTACGGTGATCATGGAATACCAGGCTGAACTACAGTGATCATGGTATGCCAGGCTGAACTACAGTGATCATGGTATACCAGGCTGAACTACAGTGATCATGGTATACCAGGCTGAACTACAGTGATCATGGTATACCAGGCTGAACTACAGTGATCATGGTATACCAGGCTGAACTACAGCGATCATGGAAAACCAGGCCGAATAAAGTGTCAAGGTATACCGGGCTGAACACAGTGACAGGGTAAAAACCGGGATGAACTAAGTATGTGGTATCCAGATAACTACAGTGATCATGGAATCCAATGAACTACAGTGACAGGAAACCCATGATGAACTACAGTGATAAAGTATACCATATGAACTACAGTGATATGGTATACCAGAGAACACAGGATCATGCTTTACCAGAATGAACTACAAGTATCATGGTATACCGGGATGAATACAGGATCAAAGTTAAACCGGCGAACTACAGTGACTTTTATACCAGCTGAACTCATATAAAAGTATACCAGGCTGAACTACAGTGATCTGTATACCAGGCTGAACTACAGTATCATGGTGTACCGGCGAATACATGATCATGGTATACCGGATGAACAGGGTAAACAGGTATCCAGGCTGAATCAGTGTCTGGTATCCCAGGCAAATTTAAGGATCGGGTATACCGGGCGAACTAAGTGATCTGGTATACCAGCTAAACAGTATCATGGTATACCAGCTAAAATACAGTGATCTGGTATCCCAGGCTGAACAAAGTGATCTGGTATACCGGCTGAATACAGTGACAGGGATACCAGGCGAACTAAGGTCATGGTATACCAGGCGAACTACAGTGATCAGGTATACCAGGCAAAACTACAGTGACATGGTAACGCTGAAACACAGGATCAGGTATACCAGGCTGAACTACAGTGATCATGGTTACCAGGATGAGCTACAGTGAAAGGCTTAACCTAGCATTAAATTTTTTGCAGGTTTAAACTGACAGGAGAAAAATCAGTGCCCCTTTGTGGGTATCTCAGCCGGCAGAGAACCGTCTTCCTCCCCATTTTGGGAAAAACCCATTGAAACTTCTGCCTTGTGTAGGGTTCATCGATGGCATTTTTTACCTGGAGTTTATCGGGAGAGATTTTTCCGGGGGTCAACGCCCCGCGGCCCGGCTGTACCAGGCCTCCTGGTGGACCAGACCTGATCAACCACTGTTTTACTGCTGGCGCAGGGAAACCAACGTACGACCACAGCCCGGCTGGTCGGGAACCGTTTTGGGTTTTGTCCATGCCAGCTTAAAGATTTCCGGGTCGTGGAAACCCCCCTTTAATATGGGGGCATTTTGAACAGTCCGGCCCCTCATTTTGTATGGTCTTTAACGTGCTAGTGACACCCCTGCTTTTCATTGGGGGATGTTGCATCTCTGCCAAGTCTTTTGCTTTCGTGTGAGTGTTTTTTCTGTGCAAGTTCGGTACACCCTCTAGGATTTTCCTTGATATAATCATGTATCTCTCCCCCCCCGCGTTTCCCGGGAAAACATTTTTTGGAACCCCAAGCGCTCCCATAAATTTAGGTTTTTATTTCCGTTATGCCGCCGTGAAGGTTCTCTGTACATTTTAGGTCGCAATTTACCTGCCTTGAAAGGGTGTTAGTGTCAGCAAAAATTTTCCCGGCTAGATAGAACAAGGGACCTAAGGGCATTTTTGGCTTGGCCTCCCTAGTTTTAAGGGTCTAAAATCCACCTTCATTTTTTTTAGCAGATGGATTGATACAATGTTTTTGGCCTTTGAAGGTGAGATCCCCGCATGACACTCCCAGTCTTTGCGTTGGGGGTTTTTTGCTTTTTTTTGTGGGCCCAAAATTTTTTTTGTACCTGAGAAGATTTAATTTCCTCTTTTTTTCCCTATCTATAAATTTAAATATTTATCGTTGAACTTATATTGTTTTCGCAGCCCACGAAAGATCTGTTGGTTTCCATCAGGATGGCACTTCGGTAGGGTCCCTCAATGGCACTTCTGTGTAGGTCCATCAGGGGTCAACCCGTTAGGGTCCCTCAGGAGGTCACTTTCGTGTAGGGGGCCACGGGGGCATTCTGTGAGGGCCATCGGGTGGGCATTCGTTAGGGTCCATCAGGATGGGCACTTTTGTGTAGGGTCCATCAGGATGGCACTTCTGTGTAGGGTCCATCGGATGGTCACTTCTGTGTGGGGCCACAGGAGGTCATTCTGTTAGGGTCCCCCAGGATGGTCACTCGGTAGGATCCACAGGATGGGCACTTCTGTGTGGGTCCTAGGATGGGCACTTTGTGCGGGTCCCCCAGGGTGGTCACTTCCCTGTAGGGGCCCTCAGGGTGGCACATCTTTTTAGGGGCCCCCAGGGTGGTCACTTCTCTGTAGGTCCATCAGGAGGGCGCTTCTTGTGGGGCCCTCAGATGGGCACTTCTCCATTACATAAGCCATCCAGCCCAGAAATGAGTGTTGTGTGTAGTGGTTTAATACAGCAATTTTCCTTTGGGTCTGACCGTTAATTACCCCGAACCCGCCAAAGAACCAGACAACTACACTCCTTTTTACCTCAATTAACGTTAAAGGGCCTCGACACCCGTTTGATAATATAATTTAGCGTGACACAAAAACAGAAAAACATGCATGAATCCACAAACACATTTTATTTCCAAGAATGAAACGTTACAATGACTGCCTCCTGTTGAGGGCGCAAAGGAGGGGGATGAGGAAGTTCAACGGAGGGTGCGGGCTCGGGCCAAACCCGGAGAAATACAAAAAACCCCCTTACCAGTCTAAATTTTTTTATATGCCATGGAGGGGAAAGGGGAAGAGAATGACTGACGAAGATGGAATAGTGATAAACATTTGGGGAACAGGAATGAGGTACGAAAATTTGTGGGTATACAGGATGAGGGGTTAAAGGGAAAATTGTGGTAGACAGGAAAAGGGTGAGGAAAAATTTTATAAATAAATGGCCTGACCTGGTTTTTTGGCCTGATTGGTTTTAAAAGGCCTGAGTTGTTAAATGGCCGACTTTGGTTATAATGGCCGGCCTTTCTAAATACCTGACTTGGTTAAATGACCTGACTTGGTTAAATGGCCTGAGTTGGTTAAATGGCCTGACTTGGTTATAATGGCCTGGCCTTGCTAAATGACCTGACTTGGTTAAATGGCCTGACCTGGTTAAATGGCCTGACCACTTAGAATGAGTCAACGTAAAGGTTTTAATCAGTGACGAGAGTTCTTAAATGATCTCAATCTATCCCACCTAGACACAATCAGATATAACAATCAGATATGACAATCAGATATAATAATCAGATATAAAAGATTAAAAGCAGATATAAAAGATAAAACAATCAGATACAACAATTAGAAATAACAATCAGATATAACAATTAGACATAATCAGATATAACAATCAGATATGACAATCAGATATAACAAATAGATATAACAATCAGATATAACAATCAAATATGACAGATATAACAATTAGATATGACAGATATGAGAATCAGATATGGCAATCAGATATAAAAGATAAAAAATTGGTTATAAGAGATAAAAAATCAGATATAACGATCAGATATGACAATCAGATATAGCAATCAGTTATGACAATCAGATATAACGATCAGATATGACAGATGTAACAATCAGATATGACAGATATAACAATCAGATATAACAATCAGATATAACAATCAAATATGACAGATATAACAATCAGATATGACAAATATGACAATCAGATATGACAAATATAACAATCAGATATGACATATAACAATCAGATATGACATATAACAATCAGATATGACAATCTAATATGACAATCGGATACGATGCCAAGGAACAGGATAGCTCCAATTCCTTGGATTAAGAGCCCTTACATGTGATGTTGGTCCTCAGCAGCAGAATGGAGTCTGGCCCTCATGACAATCAGGTTCATGGTACACTGAACGGCCACAATGCCAACCATCACAGCACTCTTGATCATGAAGCTCACCTGGAATATAAATTTTCAGTGGGCCGCAGAAAACACTATGAAGTTCAATGAAGACAAATTTCAATTAATTCCGCTATGGAAAACTCGAGGAAATTAAAACTGTATCGAAGTGTAAAACAAAGTCTCACCACATAACAGAGCGAATAACTAATGTGAAGGACCTGGGAGTGATAATGTCAGATAATGTCACTTTCAAAGATCACAACAATGTATCTATCACAACTGCTAGGAAACTGATATGATGGATAACGAGAACCTTCAAAACTAGAGATGTCAGGCCTATGATGATTCTCTTCAAATCGCTTGTTCTCTCTGGTCTGGAATATTGCTGTACACTAACTGCCCACTTCAAGGCAGGCGAAATTGATGACCTGGAGAATATACAGAAAACTTTCACGGCACATATAAGTACGATTATGCACCTAAATTATTGGGAACAGTTGAAGTCCTTTGATTTGTACTCCCCGGAATGCAGGCGAGAAAGATACATCATAATATAAACTTGGAAAATTCTAGAGGGACTAGTCCCAATTCTGAACCCAAAAATTACTCCTTACGAAAGCAAAAGACTGGACAAAAGATTCAACATTTCCCCCACCGCAAAGCAGGGGCGCCACGAGTACACTAAGAGACAACATAGTAAGTGTCAGTATTCCATGACTGTTCAACTGCCTTCCAGCATACATAAGCGGGATTTAAAAACAGACCCCTGGTTGTCTTCAAGAAGGCTCTGGACAGGCACCTAAAGCCAGTACCTGACCAGCCAGGCTGTGGTTCGTACGTCGGTTTACGTGCGGCCAGCAGTAACAGCCTGGCTGATCAGATCCTAATCCACCACGAGGCCGGGTCACAGACCGGGGTTGACCTCCGAAACCCCCTAAAGGTATACAGGTGGGGTTAGAACCTATGGCGAGTGAGTCGTAAAACTCAAAGCCAGTTCTACGACTCACTTGCCATAGGTTCTAACCCCACCCGTACCCTGGTATGTTTACAGTTGTATTGTTACGATTTCGTGAGTTTATGTCAGTCCTTAAGTTGTTTTCAATTCACTTCAGAGTAAAAATTAAAATAGAGAATTGTTTTGAGAGGAAAATTGTAAACAAATTGAGGCACACAGGACACAGTTCTATGTTGAAACAAATCCTTAGGAACTTTGATGAGACGATGAGTGAAACTGAGTGAAATAAAATGAGTGGCAAAGTGACTGAAGCAGTGACAACGACTGAAACACTGGCTGGAGCAGACACCAAAATAGACTTAAAGAGAATGAAACATAACAGTGGCTGAAACAGTGGCGCAATGACTGAAACAGTGACCGAAACAGAGGCTAAAACAGTGACAGTGTCTGAAAATGACTGAGAGGCTAGAGCACTCAGCTCACACATTGAGGTCCATTGTTCAATCCCCGGTATGGGTGGAAATATTAGAGTGTTTCCTTAAGATACCTGCTGTCCATGTTCACCTATCAGTAAAATAGGTACCTGGATGTTAGTGGACTGGTGTGGGTCGCATCCTGGGACAAAACTGACCAAATTTGCACGAAATGCTCAATCATAACAAGAGGCTTTCTATATAGTAGTATGTCACTGATGGCAGCTAGGACTGTATACCTTGTACATGTACGTGTAGAAACAAAGATTATTATTATTATTATTATTATTATTATTATTATTATTAGTTATTATTATTGTTGTTGTTGTTGAAACAGTGACACTGGCTGCAACAGTGACTGAAATAAAGATTGAAGCAGTGACACAGTAGCTGAAACAGCAGTTAATTAACTATCTCAGAGTACTAACCAATGTGGCTCTAGCTCTAGGAGTGGTGAAGGCTCAATCCTCTGACCACTAATGAGAAAAACTATTACAGCTAGGATTCGTTCTCACAGAAACAGGTTCTCTGCTCCCATAGGTACGTATCCTGCTAACATAGCTCTATATCTTTGCTAACATAGGTACCATGATCACAGATTAAACAGAAAGTTATGTTCCTGAAAAGAGCGCATTGCGTGAACTGAAAATTGTATGGGGAAAATAGAGATATGTTTTTGGTCCTTCCAAATCATTCATAAACACAGAGGTACCCAGCTCCCATAGATAAGTGCCCAGGTTCCATACATAGGTACCCAGGTCCCATAAATAGGTACCATGGCCCTATAGATAGGTACCACGACCCTATAGATAGGTACCCAGCTCACAGATAGGTACCAACCTGAGCTAGGAGGGAAGCAGCCACCAGAATGAGGAGAGTGAAGTACGAATAGTAGGCAGGGTGAGGACACATGAGGTCTTCTTGAGTGGGTACTGTGTCGTTCTCAAATGTTAGGAGTATCTGTGGGGGATCGTTCACTCCCTGGCTACTCCTGTTGTCGCTGATGAGGTCGCTTATGACTAAGTCACTGACAACTGGGTTGCTGACAATTAAGTCACTGACTACTGCGTCACTAACAACCGAGTCGTTGATCATGGCTGGCAAAACTGTTGGTTGAGAGATGTTGTTTCCTAGGAAGCTGAAGAATGATTTGTCACACAAATACTGAAACAAAATAATAGCATTATCATTATTATAATTATTATTGATATTATTAATAAGCATGTAGCTGATTGACAAAGAAACAAAAACTCAAAAATCCCACAAGTTCACATTTGCATACATACAAACATATTTTGAAACATTTTTATTACACGTAGAAATGCTAAATTCATGAGGGTCATACTGTGCCTGGGTAACAGGAATCAAGTCTGATCCGAGGAAAGGGAAGGAGGTCATCAGTTCTTCAGATCAAGAGTTCTTCACCAGCATCAAGACATTGCTTTTCAAGAATTATTTTGATTCAATTCAATATTTTGGGTAGTGTAGATGAGACTGGTGTACAGCAGGGTCCTCGACTTACAAGGTTCTACAGAACGATGCTTCGCACTTACGACACTGGCACTTTGCATCCCAGGTAATTTCTTACGAACAAGTGACTTGTTTGCAACAGCGGGAACTACTTGCTGGTGAAGGAATGTTCGTGGCAGGTGGCAGGAAGTAAACAATCTACCGACGCTGTGTTTACTCTCACCCCTCATGTTTGATTTTTTTTTTAATATTTACTTTGGATAACAGTCATACATGATTGGAAAGCGCAAGAGTAGTGGCATCAATACCCAAGTGTCACAGATAAGGAAATCTATGACCTTGGAGATAAATTATATAAAATTTAAAAAAAAAACATATTTAAGGTAAAAAATAGGTAAAAAAAATTATTAAATATGGAATATTTAGGTCGTGGGAACACACTGATTAATTTTACATTATTTTTTATGACAAAATAGGTTCCAAGTATGTATCGAACAGCTGGTTTATGATTAATCTTTGGTAACACATTAATGTTGTAAGTTGGTGCCCTACTATAACATGACCGGTGCTTAATATATGCAGTAAACAATTTTAGGCAGTGCGTGCGAGACTGGAGTAACATGACCGGTCCTTACATCATGCAGAAAACAGTCTTAGGCAGTGTGTACGAGACTGGAGTAACATGACCGGTCCTTACATCATGCGGAAAACAGTCTTAGGCAGTGTGTACGAGACTGGAGTAACATGACCGGTCCTTATATCATGCGGCAAACAGTCTTAGGCAGTGTGTACGAGACTGGAGTAACATGACCGGTCCTTACATCATGCAGAAAACAGTCTTAGGCAGTGTGTACGAGACTGGAGTAACATGACCAGTCCTTACATCATGCGGAAAACAGTCTTAGGCAGTGTGTACGAGACTGGAGTAACATGACCGGTCCTTACATCATGAGGAAAACAGTCTTAGGCAGTGTGTACGAGACTGGAGTAACATGACCGGTCCTTACATCATGCGGAAAACAGTCTTAGGCAGTGTGTACGAGACTGGAGTAACATGACCGTCCATACATCATACGGAAAACAGTCTTAGGCAGTGTGTACGAGACTGGAGTAACATGACCGGTCCTTACATCATGAGGAAAACAGTCTTAGGCAGTGTGTACGAGACTGGAGTAACATGACCGGTCCTTACATCATACGCAAAACAGTCTTAGGCAGTGTGTACGAGACTGGAGTAACATGACCGGTCCTTACATCATGCGGAAAACAGTCTTAGGCAATGCGTGCGAGACTGGAGTAACATGACCGGTCCTTACATCATGCGGAAAACAGTCTTAGGCAGTGTGTACGAGACTGGAGTAACATGACCGGTCCTTATATCATGCGGCAAACAGTCTTAGGCAGTGTGTACGAGACTGGAGTAACATGAATGATCCTTATATCATGCGGCGAACAGTCTTAGGCAGTGTGTACAAGACTGGAGTAACATGAATGATCCTTATATCATGTGGCAAACAGTCTTAGGCAGTGTGTACGAGACTGGAGTAACATGACCGGTCCTTACATCATGCGACAGTCTTAGGCAGTGTGTACGGGACTGAAGTAACATGAATGATCCTTATATCATGCGGTAAACAGTCTTAGGCAGTGTGTACGAGACTGGAGTAACATGAATGGTCCTTATATCATGCGGCAAACAGTCTTAGGCAGTGTGTACGAGACTGGAGTAACATGACCGGTCCTTACATCATGCGGTAAACAGTCTTAGGCAGTGCGTACGAGAGTGGAGTAACATGACCGGTCTTTACAAAATGCAGTACCTACGAGAGTGGAGTAGCTGACAGGTCCTTGGGACGTAAGGTAAATATTTTGAAACTGTACACAACAATAGGGATACGTGACCCTACTTAAGAGGTGAGGTACACATTTTAGGAGGAAAGACTTTAAAAATCTAAGTTTGAGGAAACAAGGAAAACTTTTCTTCAGTTCTAATGAGAAAAGTTTGTATTTAAATCATGTCTGGCGGGCGGTGCCAACATGGGTGAATAGTCAAGGCAGGAAGAGGCAAGTAAAAAAGGGAGGGAGAGACAAATAAAGGAGGGAGAAAGACAAGACAAAGAAGGGGGAAATAAAGGTGGGAAAGTAAGACACATAACGAAAAGACATAAAATAAGGAACGGGCAAATATTCAAGAGAAGAAATGCCAGCTGCTCTAAGCTACATCAATCACCAGCTGAGAGCTATATCAGCTTGGGGAAATAGATGGCAAGTAACATTTGCACCTGAGAAAACGCAAATGATGATCGTCTCTAGGCACCATGATGGTAATGCTGGTGCAGTAGTAAGGATGAATGGGAGGATGTTGGCACCTGGAGAAGAAGTTGATATCCTTGGGGTGAAATTTGACTCCAAACTAACCATGAAGAACCATGTTGTAAATCTTGCAAACAAGGCAGCCAAGAAGCTTACAGCACTTCGCCATATCTCCCATCTGCTTGACAGTAGGGGTTGCAAGATCCTGTACGAGGCACAAGTACGCTCGCACCTTGAGTATGCTCCACTTTCTTGGTTTGCCTGCCCCCCTCTCATCTGCGACCTGCTTGACAGAGTAGAGAACAAAGCAAGACGTCTCATCTCTCGCCTGGACCCACCCTGGATAGATCTGTCATTTCAGCAGAGCCTTCAACATAGGAGGGATGTTGGGTGGCCTTACTGTTATGTACAAGGCCAATATTGTCAAAATACCACACTTGGATCCACTTCGAGGACAGCGTGAAACAAGCTTTTATGCCACAAGACGGGCAGAAAGCAGCAACTTCACTCGGGCTGTACCCTTCTCCAGAACATCACTCCATCTGAGATCATACATACCCAGGATGACTAGAGTATGGAAACACATTCGTACAGCATAATGATGTCAACGAGATAAAGTCAGTTGATCAAATGAAAATGCTGGCCCACAGATGGCTCCAACTTCATCCTGTTTCCTACTTGTATGTCTCATAACAATAAAAATGCTTTCAAATGAGCTGATGTAGGTAACAGCTCTTAGCTTGCCAATAAAGTTAGGAATCCTTAACCTGTAAATAGCTGTCAATAAAGCTAGGGATCCTTAACCTTGTCAAACCCTGTGTAAAAAAAAAAAAAAAAAAAAAAAAAAAAAAAAAAAAAAAAAAAATCAAGAGAGACAAATAAGGAAAGAAGAGGCAAATAAAGGAGGGAAGGGAGAGACAAATAAAAAATGAAGAAGCAAATGAAGGAGGAAAGAGATAAATGAAAGAAGGGAAGGGGATGTAAATGACAGGAAGGGAAACGAAAAGGAGAATTAAGAAGGAATAGACAGATAAACAGAAAGATTTAAATAGAGAAGGAATACAGAGGTAAGTGGAGGAAGCGAGAGGTTTAAATAAAGAAAAGACAGAAAAAAACAAGAAATATGTAAATATAAAAAGAGAGATACAGAGAAGGAAGGAAGGGGGAAGACAAACAGAACGAAGGCATAGACACAAAGGAGAAGAAGGAACTCAAAGTAAAGAAGAGGAAGACCGTTAAAAAGGAAAGTTAAGAAGGAAGGTTAAGAAGGAAGGTTAAGAAGAAACGTTAAGAAGGAAGTTTAAGAAAGAAGGTTAAGAAGGAAGTTTAAGAAGGAAGGTTAAGAAGGAAGATTAAGAAGGAAGATTAAGAAGGAAGATTAAGAAGGAAGATTAAGAAGAAACGTTAAGGAGGATTAAGAAGGAAAGTTAAGGAAGAGCAGGAAGAGATGGAAGGGCAGAAGAAGAAATGCAAAGATGAAATTACTGTACAATAAAGAGGAGACGTGGTGATAAAGAAGAGAGGCACTGGAGCACTAAAGATGGAGAAGATGGTAAAGCAGAGAGGTACTGACCATGTCTGCAGTGTTGGCGGCTGCTGCGAAGATAATGAGGGAGATGAACCACGTGATGCGCAGCCCCACCACCCGGTGTACCTGGTCACTGGTCCACACCAGCCAATCACACACACGCTGTAACACACAAACGAACGTTGTAATACATCAACACACGGTGTGACACACACCAACACATGGTGTGACACACAACACACGGTGTAACACACCAACACATACAGTGTAAAACGCTGTAATACACCATCACAAAGTGTGACACACCAACACAGTGTGACACACCAACACACAATGTGACACACCAACACACGGTGTGACACGCCGACATACAGTGTAACACGCTGTAACACACCATCACAAGGTGTAACACACCAGTGCACGGTGCAACACACCAAAACACACAATGTAAAACGCTGTAACACACCATCACAAGGTGTAACACACCAACACATGGTGTAACATACCAATAAACTCGGTGTAACACACCAACACACGGTGTAACACACCAACACACGGTGTAACACACCAACACACGGTGTAACATACCAATATACTCGGTGTAACACCCCAACACAGGGTGAACCCCCAACCAGGTGTAACAAAAACCGATATACTCAGTGAAAACACCCCAAACCAGGTTTAAACAACCAACATACTCGGTAAACAAAACCAACACGGTGTAACATACCGAAACTCGGTGTAACAACCACACACGGTTGAACATCCCAACAACTGTGAAACACCCCAACACAGGGTGTAAATCCCAAATCCCTGGGTGAACACCCCAACACACGGTGAAACATCCCGATTACTGGGTGTAACACCCAACCACGGTAACATACCAACTCTCGGTGTAACACCCCAAAACACCGGTGTAACATCCCCAAAAATCGGTAACACACCAACACCGGTGTAACATCCAAAAAAAGGTGTAACACACAGGGTTTAAAGCACAACACCACCCCGTGTACCTACCCCCCAACACCCCAACACACACACACAAAACCACACACACAAAACCACACACAACACACACAAATTAAATCGAAATGGACATATTATAGGAAGGACTACGGGGGGAAGGAACAAAATAGGTAAGGAACATTTTTACTTAGGAAGGGAACTCTTACAAGGAAAGGAACAAATTTACATGGAAGGTGGGCGCCGGGGGCCAGGGCCCCCAAACAGTACACACGCCGGGAACACCATACCCCCCCCACTGTCAACCCATAAAACATTTAAAAGTTTGTTCGTGTACATGTGTCCGTTATACATGGGGGCAATGTGATGTGAGGGGTTTTGCGACATGACTCGTTATATTTTTTTTTTTATATTTTTATTTTGAAAAAATCAGGTCCAAAATAGTTTTATAAAAAAATTTGGGGGGGGGTGGGGGGTTTTTTTAAAAAAAAAAAGCAAAACACGGGAAATAAACACTATACAAAAAAACAATTGAAAAAAACCCACACACAAATTTACACAATCCAATCAACATATTATACAACGGATACTTTCATCTGACATATTACTAGGTGGCTTCCGCCTGCCAACACACAACGTATCCAAGATTAATCTAAGAACTCGGGTTTGCCTTAAAGTGCACAACAAAACGTTAATTTTTGGGGACTACCAGGGGGGTTATTATCATGGACTAAGAATGGGCTTACAGTTAAAAGGTGGATCGGGATGCGCTCTATCACTAAAATGAAAATACTAATAAACAAAAACGAAAATACACTTGATATTTGAATCTCAAAAAAACTCAAATGCCGCACTAAAAAGTGAACTTATCCCCTGAAGAGACACATTGAAAAATACTGCTCCACATAATTAAAGCCCCACCGCTTACAAAAAAACGAACTTGCAATAACATATTTATTGAAAAGCAACGGACACGGATAAAATAAAACGGAAAAAAGAAAAAATTTAAACGTGCAGGAACCACCATATAAAAAAGTACCCCAAATGATTGAAATTGAGGCAAAAAAGACGGAAACATTCCAAAAAGTTGTTATAAAAAAGCACGTAAGATTTTCGTCCCGTACTAGGAACGCACATAAACCTGAGAAAAAAAACATCAGACTTGACAAAAACAAAATTAGCCAGCTGCCAGCCCGTTAGATTACCCACGAACCCACAACTACCCAAAAACCGTCCCCAAGGCTTTATTTCAGGGGGGAAGTCCCCTTCCCTCCCCCCTCATATACCAAACCTTTTCGACTTTGCCTAAAAATCGTCCCTCTAACACCCTAATTCTATTTACCATAACGTGCCTCATAGCCCATGACCAAAATAAATCGGCCAAAAACTACGACACCGCACGTTGTACACGCAAGTCAACCCCACCTACTCAAAACTCAACCCCCGGGAAACCGAAAAACCCTCCCCCCCCCCCCAAAACGAAAAACCCTACTGAACCACTTCGTACCATACTAAAGTCTACAGAAATACAAACATAAAAAGAAATTTCCCCTCCATCCCCAAACCCGGCCCAACCCCCAGCCCTTCCTCCAAACCCCTATTATAAAACACCACCCACGGCAAGATTCCATGAAAAAATTTAAAAAACCACTTTCCGACTTGACAGCAACGCAACTGTTGAATCCCTCCAATATCACCCCACGCATACAGGGGATAAAAATTCCTTCAACTTGCACCTAAAATACCCCCACCCCCCCTTTCTAAGGAATAATTTTTACCAGCGCACGCCCTCATGTTAATAATACGCGAAGCATGCGTCGCACCAAATTAAATTCCTCCTCTCCACCCCCTGCGCAGGTCGTGATACAATTCGTTTAAACCCCATGCCCCCACCCAGTCGGAAAAAACGACGTTCCAACATGCCATGACCGGCCTCTAGGGGAAAATGAGACCCAACCCCCCTGATGCATGGTGCTCCCCACCCCCTTTTTTGTGAGCCAACGCATCTTAAACCCCCCAAAAAATCGATAAACTCTATGCAAAAGACTTTGACTCCCCGCAACGGGGTTTACAGTGCAGCAACGTGCCAATTTGCATAAGCGGGACATTAATGACCACCCCCCTCTAAGGGGGGGTTAAATGTCGCGGCCGTAGACTATTTTAAGCGCCCCAAAACTATGTAAAACCCCCCCCGAATTGCCGCCCTCACTGATCGACCTCCTGCATAAATGAATTCCACATAAGTGATACGACAACCACAGCCCCACCCCTCTGCCCCAAAACCCATCCCCCACCCCTCCCCCAACTCCTAATTTTCGATTTTTTCTCTTTTAACACACACCCCTAGCCTTCCCAAAATATGTCAACAATCTCCCAAAAAAAACCAATTGCCCCCGAAAACGTAATAACACTATATCATCAAAAAAACCCCCCAAAAGGTCGTCGACCACTACTGGACCCCCGATGCTCTTTCCCCCCCCCAAAAAACAGCCCAGTAAAAGGGGCCCGCAACTGCAAAAAACATTTGAGACATGGGGCATCCCTGACAATCCCCCTGCTCATTTTAAAAAAAAACCCCAAATTTTTCCAAAAATTTTATTTTAAAAACCGCTCCATTGTAAACAAAGGGGGCCCCATGAGACTCTTTTCCCAAACCCTGTCATCTCATAAATTTCCACAGAAAACCCCTCTTTTTCCACACTTCAAAAGCGGCTCGCCATCTAAAACCAAAAAAACCCCCCCCACCCCCCCCCCGCATTCCTCAAAAAACTCCCTGATATTCCCATGACCATCATACTTTTATCTACGGCAACCAAACTGACCTTATGGATACCTTTTCAAACACTTTCTAATTTTATTCATCAATATTTTCGCAAAAGTTTATGCACTACACATCAAAGTATGGGAAAGGTAGTCCTTAAATCGCTAACGGCAATCACATTCCTAAATAAAACCAACACTGCCGTACCTGGGGACAGACCTAACCCCCCCCCCTTCATCGTATTTAGTAAACGAACCAAAAAGTCCGTTTACCTCCCAATGTTTTATATAAAATTTACAAGGGGTCCATCAAATTTCCTGGAGCCTTCCCCTTTCTCATTCCCTTTTATGCCCCCCACCCTCTGCCTCAGATATAGGCCCACCCTGGAAAACGATAATAATCTTTTAAATCGCATCGTACGCATCTCCCCAAAACCTGTATGCAGCTCACTCACTCTTACTTTGCATCTGGATTTTCTCCAAAATCGAAAAAAATTATCCCCTCATTGTTGTTTAAACCCGTCCCCCACTATACCTGTCAACTTCACCTGCACCACTAAACTCAAATTTTTATCGCTTTTCGCCTTGTGTTTTACTTTTTAAACACAAGCAACGGCTTGTACCCCCCAAGCCCCCCCCACCCGCTCGAAATGCGCGCCCCATCGAAAACCTTTTTTTCAAAAACTTGGGTTTGTTCTTTAATAGCATCGTTCATCCAAGGTAAAAACCCCCAATGCCTCTCCCGTCTAACATTGTCGAGATGACCCTCCGGTACCCCAAAAACCAACCCAACGAGTGGCCCCCCTTAAAACCCATTCCCCATAAAAATCCTTTTAATTCAGGGTTTACAACCTCATCCCCCGTCGTACTAAATCCCCCCCTCCCAGGATCTCCCCAAGACCCCAGAAACCCCGAATATTTTTTTCATCCGCCTTTTGCATCCGCGTATTCATTTCCAGTATCCCTTAAAACAAGCGGGAGACCTCCCCAGTCGAGCTCCACAAAAAAATCCCCGGTTTTTTTGGAAAAAAAAGACTTCAATACACCACTTTGATTTCGACCCCCCCGAGAAATACACCCTATCTAAACAGTGCAACCCCTATGCCCCAAAAAATGCTCAATCCCCCAAAATCACGTCCTCCGGTACATCAACCAACCCCAAAAACCCGACAAAAAGTCACCCAAAACAAGCGAACAGAACCCTGCCCCCCCCGGGTTCAAAATCTTTACGGGGCCTAAAAGTTCCAGTCACCACCTCCACTGTAAATTTTTTGGCAGGGGGCCCAAATAATAACCCAAACTCTCTAACAAAAGATTTTTAATATAACATCATGTTTTGCCCCCCATATCCCCTACAAAAAACCCAAACCCTTTTTTTTTTTCCCCCTTTTTTTTAAAAACCCCAAACCCCCACGACTCGACCACGCGGGAAACCCTCCCCCCCTTTCCCAAAGTCCAGCAGAAAAGGGGTGTCGCTTTTATAAAAAAAGCCCCTCCACCTTTCGACCGGGGTGAGTCACAAAATGTATAACCCTCCATTCAAAAAAACTTCCCCACTTTATGGTTATTTTTGCAAAAAAAACACATCCCCTGCAAAACGATTCAACCACTAGCACCCCAACACTTTTTGACAGATTTCAAAAACCATTAACATTAAAAGTAAAACACCTAACTGTTTAAAGGTGGCTTTCCTTAGGGGACCACCCCTTTTTTTCTTTCGCCGGCAAACACCCCAAACACTTCCCGCCCTTTTTCAATCCCCGGATATTACCTGCGTCCTGGACTCGCGCGACCTCCCCCCACCCTGATTTTCCCACCCCTCTTCTTCCCTGAACGTGTCCAGGGGTCAAGACATCCGGGTCGGGCGGGGGACCGCAGCTTCTAGAAACACATCTTCAGACATGTCAGTACTTGGAGTGTTCCCTTTTGAATTTCTGCTAACATATAAACCTCAAATCTCCAAATCTCTCATTTAGCTACTGATCGCATCTCTGCACAAATTTCCCCCCATCAGAACACAGCACAGAATCAACCCGCGATGCTAATAGGTCACTTAAGCGATACAAAGTCGGCTTCCCTCTCACCTCCTCTCTTTCAGAGGGTTTTTACTGTTCCCTGTTCCCCCTCGTCAAGGGAGGGAGTCCCAGGTAGAGTCACACAAGATGACTCTAGTAGCATGGCCCCATCAAATCGCACCCATATGTATACCGGCGAGGTCTCTACAACCTCCTCTTTTAAGCCCACGGGGGACCTCACCGTCAGGTCGACGACCACGCCCCGTGGCGGCGGCGCTGGGAAAACCTTTTACCCTATGTACCAGAGCGCCGCAGAGGTGGCAAGTTCCTCTGCCAGGGGACGTAAACACCGGAACGAAACTCCTCCAGCTTACTACGAAGGGGGAAACACTCGCGGGGCTTTTTAAATAAAGACCCCCTCCTGAAGGCCCTTTAGTGGCCGCGAAAACCTACCCCTGGGACCAGGTGGATCTTTCCCCTAAAAGTCAAAACTACGTTACAAATTCATTGGCCCAAAAGGCACGTTTCTCACACTCCCACGTATAGTATCGGAAACGTCATGCAACTGGACAGAAATGGGGTGCTTGGGTTATTATATCCTGGTACGGGTCACAACTTCTGTCATCGATGTACAAAACTTGACGAAGATCCCTGTAGTTCCCTTCAAGGCGACTTCCCACACAAGGATTCACGTTGAATGCCATAAGTATCACGAATGATTGCTGGCAGTAACACATTTACTGATTCGCCGGTGATAGAGCCCTGCGTTAGTTGAATACAAACAGTATTAACACGGCGGCGAAACGCAGTCGCCATTGTTGTTGATGTTGTAAACACTCCTCCACCAGGTGTCGGGACTGAAGAGCAACAGCTGACAACCGCTCAGCACAACGTCTGAGCAGAGAATGTTCTGTGTATATTAGTAGTGTACACGAGTTCTAGTGCACATGAGTGGTGTACATGAATTCTTGAATACATGATTAATGCTCATTTCTTGCGTGCATGGTGTACATGAGCTCATGTGTACATTTGTTCTGGTGTGCATGAGAGTATATGAATGGTGTACATAAGTGGTGTACACGAGTAGTGTACAGAGAGGATCAATCGTAAAATGAATGAATCCAGATTCTTATCTATAACAAAGAATGAATCAATATTCTCTCGTTTCCTCATTACATTCTCACTCTGTGTCTCACCTCTCATACCCATTTCCCCCCTCGTTTTTTCAATCTTCTGTCTCACCTACCTTTTTTCAATTTCATAATCTCCTCTCCTACCAATTCTCACACATTTTTTGGTTCCCAATCTCTCTCTCTCACCTCTCCTGTTTCTCATTTTCCTCTCCGTCGTCCCCTACTCCTTCCATCCCTTATAATTTGCCCTCATTACAGGATATATACACCGAAAGGTGTATATTTCACAGTGTATATGCAGTGAGAGTTTATTCTGGTTCCTATATAAGGTATTAAAAGTGTTCCTGACTGGTGGTGAACAGGTTACATGCAACCTTAATGACCCTCTTGTTGCAGGCACACTTTAAACCCCATCAACTAGCCTTACCAACCCTCACCTTGGCATAAGGAGGAATCTAGCGATAGCTATCAGTGTGATAACCAGTGGTGCAGCAGTGGTGGCGGCACCACTGAAGGTTTCACGGTGGTGTCTGTAAGCGTGTTCGGTCTTGGCATCTCTGAAGCTCAGCGTGAGACACGTCGTCTGGCTCAACAGGTCTCTGAGGATGTACAAGGGGAACACACATGCCCACATGTTAGAGCAAGAGTCATGTGTGTGTGTGTGTGTGTGTGTGTGTGTGTGTGTGTGTGTGTGTGTGTGTGTGTAGAGACAAGGCTTCCACTGTGACTACACGCTCTGAATAGAGCTCTCTCAAGTCATGATTCACTATGTAGAGCTTAGTCATGCTTCACTCTGTATAGCTTAGTCATGCTTCACTATGTAGAGCTTAGACAAGTCATGCCTCACTCTAGGTAGAGCTTAGTCAAGTCATGCTTCGCTCTGGGTAGAGCTTCGTCATGTTTCGCTCTGTATAGAGATCTACCAAAGTCACATTCCGTTTTGTGAAGAGCTTTATGAAGCTTTAACAAGGGTTCACTAAAGTTCCTCACAAAAGCGGAACATCGTCGCAACAAAAGCCTATTCTGTACACATCTTTTATTCCAGGTCACTACAGCAATGATACACAATACTGTGGACCTTTTGTTTGTTTCCACAGATACATGAGAGGTCAATACCCACATGAAAAAAAATAAACAATAGATTATCTATATACGTGCAGAAGGAGGGAATATAATGGTTAGAAGGATACATAGGTCAGGGGACGTAGAAGTCAAGGGATACAGAAGAAAGGAGTACAGGCCGTAGAGACAAGAGTGTATAGAAGGAAGGGATACAGAGGGAAGGGGAATGGAGAGGTCAGGGGGGATACATAGTAAAGGGGATATAATGAGAGGAAGGGGGGATACTCACTGTCTTCCATCACGATTGACCAGTTCTTTCTTGAGCTTCGACTTGAAGGAAGCGTCAGGTCGACCACCTTCTTGCAGCGCCTTCAGGATCCTTGCTTCATCTGCCGTCGACAGTGTCTGACACCATTATTATTATTATTATTATTATTATTATTATTATTATTATTATTATTATTATTATTATTATTAAATTTAATTGGATATTAATATGCATGGATTTTTTCTTTCGAATTTCGATATTTTTTTTTTCTGAAAGAATAAACGAGAATGGTAAACCCCAAGAGGTGGGGTGGGGTTAGACAATGGGTTATTATTTCATTCATGGGAGAAGTGGTAAACCAGTATGGGGGGTAACAATGGGAGGTTACTGACCGTGGAGTCCCTGGAGGCCATGGTGTTCTCTGAAGGCAGCTCTCGTGAAGGTTGTGACGAAGAACTCTTAGTACCATTCCTGATCATCTGCAGTGACGGTCGTGGCTTGTACTGTGGGACCCACAACACTGCTTTAGTTACACGTTTATTCAAGGAGGATCACACACACACACACACACACACACACACACACACACACACACACACACACACAATCTTCAACACATCCCTTGAAACTGGGCAACTACCTGAGAAATGGAAGACAGCTAATGTAGTCCCCATATTTAAGAAAGGAAACAGAAACGAGGCGCTAAACTACAGACCTGTGTCTCTGACATGTATTGTGTGCAAAGTCATGGAGAAGATTATCAGGAGGAGAGTGGTCGAACACCTGGAAAGGAACAAGATTATAAATGAAAACCAGCATGGGTTCATGGAAGGCAAATCTTATATCACAAACCTCCTGGAGTTTTATGACAAGGTAACAGAAGTAAGACACGAGAGAGAGGGGTGGGTAGATTGCGTTTTCCTAGACTGCAGGAAGGCCTTTGACACAGTTCCCCACAAGAGATTAGTGCAGAAGCTGGAGGATCAGGCGCATGTAACAGGGAGGGCACTGCAATGGATCAGGGAATACCTGACAGGGAGGCAGCAACGAGTCATGGTACGTGAAGTGGGCGCCTGTGACGAGCGGGGTCCCACAGGGGTCAGTTCTAGGACCAGTGCTATTTTTGATATATGTGAACGACATGATGGAAGGAATAGACTCTGAAGTGTCCCTATTCGCAGATGATGTGAAGTTGATGAGAAGAATTAAATCGGATGAGGATGAGGCAGGACTGCAAAGAGACCTGGACAGGCTGGACATGTGGTCCAGTAACTGGCTTCTCGAATTCAACCCAGCCAAATGCAAAGTCATGAAGATTGGGGAGGGGCAAAGAAGACAGCAGACAGAGTATAGGCTAGGTGGACAAAGACTACAGACCTCACTCAGGGAGAAAGACCTTGGGGTGACCATAACACATCACCGGAGGCACACATCAACCAAATAACTGCTGCAGCATACGGAATAGCGTTCCGATACCTTAATAAGGAATCGTTCAAGACACTGTACACTGTGTATGTTAGGCCCATACTGGAGTATGCAGCACCAGTCTGGAACCCACACCTGATCAAGCACGTCAAGAAGTTAGAGAAAGTACAAAGGTTTGCAACAAGGCTAGTCCCAGAGCTCAGGGGAATGTCGTACGAGGAAAGGTTGAGGGAGATCGGACTGACGACACTGGAGGACAGAAGGGTCAGGGGAGACATGATAACGACATACAAGATACTGCGGGGAATAGACAAGGTGGACAGAGATAGGATGTTCCAGAGAGGGGACACAGGGACAAGGGGTCACAACTGGAAGCTGAAGACTCAGACGAGTCACAGGGACGTTAGGAAGTATTTCTTCAGTCATAGAGTTGTCAGGAAGTGGAATAGCCTAGCAAGTGAAGTAGTGGAGGCAGGACCCATACATAGTTTTAAGAAGAGGTATGATACAGCTCAGGAAGCAGAGAGAGAGAGAGGACCTAGTAGCGATCAGTGAAGAGGCGGGGCCAGGAGCTGAGTCTCGACCCCTGCAACCACAATTAGGTGAGCACAATTAGGTGAGTACACACACACACACACTGTTACGCCCCTCGTTTGTGAACCTTCTAGGTCAGGTATGATGTATGTGTAACGGGCTTTTTCACTTAATATTATATTATTTCTAGCCTCATTAGTAGCTAAAATGAGGATAGAGTACTTTATAATATTATCTGGCCTTAATTTATTTAGCTGTGTAAATAGATAGGATGTTTGGATGATGTAAACTACGGGTACAGTTGTTTACTACCCGGCTGTCGTTTAGCCACTGACCCTCTTAATTCTGTTATAGTCCAGTCCACTCTCACCTTTCGTGAGAGAAGCTCCTTGATTCAACCTTCTGGTCCTACATGAGGTTCCCTTGTGACCCTCCAGCACCTCGAACGGTATCAGACAGAAACGTCTCGGACGAAGTGTGTGTTGCTGTACTGGAGACGCTGGAGATTGTCCCTAGCTCTGCTAGGAGCGGGTTTAAGCAGTGTTGGTTCAAAGAGGACGGCGAAAGTCATGGGAGACAGACTCGCCTGAAAACTCCTTTAAGTGTAGAATATTTCTAATCTCACTTAGTATGTTTTGAAAGTTGTATAAGAGTGAATTATTGTTGAAGTCTTAAGTTTTCTGTCTCACTGGGATTGAGTCAAGTAAAGGGTTATGTGAAGTGAATGTCTTATGATACTAGAGCCATTCAGTACTATAATAGACAGAATATTGTATAATCTTTTAAGTGAAATCGAGTGTTAATTTCATGTACTGTTTTATGGTGCAACCTTTTTAAAGTTAATATAAAACCCTTCTATGGTTTATTAAGAAACTTAATAAAAACCGGAAAGAAACATTGTGATTGGTTTACTACCGAACCCTTGGATGATTTAATTTAGAACAGGATATTCAATTCCGTTCATTTGTTGCAAAAAAGGGCTAAACAGGCTTTAGTTGCTCTGTACGCAACACGCACATTGATTACCCTGATCAGTTCAGGTTTAAACGCATGACGGTAATGAGGACATATCGGTCTATCTTGGACCAACATTGCCTCTACCACTACTTCTCCACTAACTTTTCTTTGAGGAGAGTGGGTGTGGAGTGTGTGGTGGCGAGGATACGGCATATCATGCGGTGTATTTTTGCGAATGTTTGGGGAATGTTAGGGATTGGATAAGTAGGATAGTGAGGCTAGTGGGAGGGGGGGGGCGTACCAGTGTTGAGAGCGCTCGTTTTGGATGTGGGAGGGGTGCCAGAGTACACAACGAGCATTGGCGTATTTAATGGTAGATTTTGTGTAATTGTCGTGGGGTATGCACGGGAATGGGGGATTGGGTTGCGAGGAAACTGGTACTGGCAGCTACTTTTTATAGGACGGTTTGCAGGAATAGGGAAATATATGGATCACGGTGGGAGGGAGCCTTCCCCGTAGATTATCGTGGTTTAACTATTGGGATCTTGCTAGCTTTGTAGTGCGCCGGGGGGGGGGGTAGTCTGAGGAATTAGACCTGTCGGTCTACTTCCTCAGACCGAACCTAATTACCCCCAAATCCCCCATTCCCTATTCCATCCTCCCCTTTTTCCTTTCCTCCTCCCCACCCCTCCCTTTTGCCCTTCCATTTTGGCCTTTGGTGTTTTTTTTTTTTCCACAGGCACGCTACTTCCTAGGTAGGGGAAAGGGTACCGGGGTCCATCCCATTCCGTTGAGGTTCTTGGCAGTGGCGTAGTTTGCTGTGGAATCTGGATTGCCTGGGGATGTCCTGATCCCTCTCCGGTATCCCGGAGGGTGGCTTTGGGTGTCTCTCGGGCGACGGGTGTATCTCTGGAAGCCACCTTTCGGATTCCGGGGGTGGTGGCCGAAGGAGGTATGCTTTGTGGCGGATTTCCGGCCGCCCTCTTTTGTCCACCGAGGTAGCTTGGCAGATGTGAGGTTGCTATCCCAGATTGCCGGTTTACTGGCATGATGGGTAGGGTATGGCACGGGTTCCATGCTGCATCTGCACTACTTGCAGTGCTGAGGTCCTCTTGGGCACGGAGGGAGATCTCTGGCCCTTTCATTCCTCCTAGGAACTATCCCTCCCCGGTCCCCCCTTTTTTAATTTTTTTTATTCTTTTCTTTCTTTCTTTTTCTTAACAGAAAGAAGTAACCTAACCATGGCAGCCCTAGTCCATGAACCTGCTAACCCCAGGCCCCCTTCTCGATACCGCACCCCATTCTGACCCCGCTTCGTCTTTGGACCACTCTCGGACACTCCTCATGCCTCTGTACCTCTTGCCGGTGCTGTTTCCTCACAAGCTTCAGGTACTGAGGCCTCGACTGACTCCTTCGATTTATCTGACCTTCGCTCTCCTCTGACTATGCTTCCGGCCTCTCCCTCTACGGTGCGGCAATTTTAGAATCACCGGCCCGTTCCACGTCGGACGAACTCTGGTCCCATGCCTAAATGACAACGACAATTACCTGCTGATGATACTTCTCCACCTTCTCGTTCTTCTCAGAAAAGATCGACACGTCCTTCACTACCTTTCCACACTCGGTTTCAGACTGCACAATGGACTAAATTCTTCACTTTACGACAGACTTCCTCTACTGCCTATCTTTCTGACCACAGTATTGGCAAGGCACTCCTACGCCATGTTGGTAAAGATATTTCTTTTCATGCTCTTAAGAGCGGTACACGCATCGTCACCCATACAGAATGCTACCCGGGCTCATGAGCTTTCTCGTCTTTCCCATATCGATACTGTTCCTGTAACTATTGAAAAGCATCATTCCCTCAATTCTTGTAGTGGTACCATCATTCTGCCCCATACAATAGTTCAACAAAATTTCCAGACAGGGGGCCCACTGACATTCTTGAACAGCGGGAAACCCTCCAAGATCTCCCAATCCACAAGGAAAGACACTTACTTTCTTCCTGCCCGCGGGCGGAGACGATACCCTAGCAATGTGGCTCGTTTAACTTTGACAGCCGTAAACTCCATCCTCAGTTTATGTAGCAGGACATTGGTTACAAGTTCGAAAGGTGATCCCTACACCGCAACAGTGTAGAAATTACTGGCGATTTGGCCATCCAGCGAAATATTGCAGATCTATCGCCGAATGCCCATCTGTGGTGCCGAGACCATTCTAAATACGTCTTGCAATCGACCTCCCTCTTGCCTTAATTGTCATGAGGCTCACCCTTCGTACTCTCGCCGCTGTCAAGTCTACTTAAACGAGCGGGAAATCCGTTACCTCAGAGGAAGAAGGTCTCCCTTATGCCACGGCAGTTTCTCATCTCTGCCTCCAAGGGAAACTACCTCGTGTTTCTTATTCCCGTGTTTCAAAACGTCCCCCCACTTCTGGTATCCCATCTTCTGCACCCACCTCTGTGGTTACCTCTCCCATAGTCACTCCTGTAGCTAATTCTTTTGCTGTCCTCGGCTCAGACGTCCCTACTTCGTCTCAGTCTGATCTTGCTTCTTCGTGTTCTCTCTCGCAAGCCTCAGTAGCGACG